CTATATTAAAATGACAACCATTCAAAACGCCTGGGTCCATATGACTAACACGGGATTCTAGAGAAGTCTGACTACGAAGGGTTGATCCAATCAGCGAAATTGCTTACAGCGAAATTTTCTATCAGAAATGATTGTATTATATATAATTACGTAATTATATAATTATATGATCATCATCACAATCATTTCTAATAGAAAATTTCGCTATAATCATATAATTATATAATTATGTAATTTTGTAATTATATAATAAAAAATATCTTAATTTAAATACGCACAAATGCAAGAGCCAAAATCTCAAAAGATGAGAAATACATGACGCAGTTAGGTCACTTCCATAATCCAATAAATCATCTCAGCTATACTTTAATTATACTTATTCTAAATATAATTATCATTAAATTTGAATAAAATTTAATATTTTTGTTATAACGGCGTCTTATATTTTATTATATTTTCTCAATATGTACTTTGAAGCCTCATCTCTACTCAAGTGATTCGTGAATTCAATTCACTTGTGTTTTGTGTTATGATGAGTAGTTGGTCGTCTGCACTCTGTCTCTGTCTGCGAAATCTAACCTCCAAAATAAAGTCGTTCGTCGTGAGCAGAAAACACGCGCATATTCCGTGCGTGGAGTTAAATAATTCAGTTCGGGACGTTTCATGGAATATTTCAGAATTCATTGCAGAAAATATAACGTATAACGTTGCGCTTTATTGAAATTAAAATAAACAACTTGAAGGGAATATTTCCAGGTGCGACGGTGGGCCAGGTCAGTTTCTGCAGAACCAAGCCTAGAAATTGAAAATTTCGCTAAAATAGTACATAATCTTCTTAAAACTAAGTGACCAACAGTATTCCGTTATTTATCTTTGCAATAGGTAGAGAGCATGCTTTGTATTTATCAAGTTACGGTTGATGTTATTGAAAGTAATGTTTTTTTCATTCTGTTTTTTATGTAGGAGCAAATAATTATGAACTACTTTACTGTTCTACGCTTTGGACACTGTACAGCCTTGAACAAGGGTCTAATAGAGCATTGCTTAAGACGGTACATACCTATGTGCCAAGCCAGATTCTACGTCAAAGAAAGTGAAAATCGCTACAGGCAGCGTATCGGGGCGAACGAACGGACGCAGAAGAAAGCATTGCGAATACGTATAATGCAAAATTTTAAAAGTACAAGAAGAAAAGTGGAAGAGATCATTGAAAGGGAAAACATTTGGACGATACCCAATTTTATTTGCATAGGTCGTATAATAACATCACCGTTCTTAAGTTACTTGATCCTGACACAAGATTATCAGGTACGATATTTCGACAAAGATACGTTCAAATAAGTGGATAAGTAGGACTAAGGACTCTCAATGCTAAAATTAACAAGTAAGGTAAAAGATAGACTTTGAGAATGCAACAGAGTTAATGGTGCGTAACTATAAAACGGATAAGATACATGATTATAAAACAGACGCTTGATGATGGCTTAAAGCAGAGCTGAATCGTCTGATTTATATAATTGTATACTTTATTGGTAATTAACAATTGTTATAACGTTTACTTACGCATTGTTAACCACGTTACACTCTTAAAGTCTATCGTTTACTTGTTAACTTGTTAATGATACATTTATTAAACATATCTTTCGTTTTCATATAATGCTAATGCAATTTCTATTTTAAAAAGCAAAGAGCATGTTTTATTTATGTTTTGATAAAATAACATTTTAGATATTTCATTATTTATTAATAATATAGAAAATATATTAATTATAATTTCTCAATTGACTTTGTTGCAATTGTATGGCGTGTCACGTGTTACAGGTGTCTTAAAAAAAATATCTGTACCATGGCGTAGATAGCGCTATGGTTGCTTGCGTTTGCAGGACTGAGCGATTTGGCGGACGGATGGATTGCGCGCACCTGGACGTCGCAGGCCTCGAAACTCGGAAGCTTTCTGGATCCAGTCGCGGACAAGTTGCTCGTCGGGACGATGTTTCTCTCCCTGACCTGGGTCGGCTTGATACCAGTTCCGCTCACTTGTCTCGTTGTCACGCGCGACGTCGTTCTAGTAACTGCTGCATCTTACATTAGATATCGTTCCTTACCTCCACCGGTACGTATTGCGTGCCTACTTGTTAATTCCGTTACACACCATTTGCCCGAACGTGAGTCGGTGGATTAATCTCGACGTGACGTAATTTCAGAAAACCTTGGCAAGGTACTTCGATCCTACACACGCTACCGTACAATTGGCACCGACTTTAACGAGCAAGCTAAACACCGGAGTGCAACTGGCTCTGATTGCTGGAACGTTGGCATCGCCAGTTTATCATTTCGTAGACCATCCGATCTTGCAATGCCTGTATTATATAACTGCATTCACAACAGTTGCAGGAGGTGCCAGTTATCTATTATCGAAGGATACGTATAAATTGTTGAGGAAGAAGAAAACCCCGACGCGAACATCACCTTAGACCCAGACTGTATATTATGGCTGGATTCGGGGAGCGCGCTATTAGCGCTATTTGCTTGTTCTATCCTTGTTTTACACCTGATGAGCGATAAAGACAGAATGATGCAATAGCGCTAATAGCGCGCCCCTCGAATGCAGCCTATATGTATTATATTATCCCTCATTTATTTAGATTGTACGATGTATATTGCTTCTTTTTGTATGTACTATATATTATATCTACTATCTTGTACATAGATTAATAATCCTTTCTTAATTTCGAAACCTTTTGAAAAAGGTACTCGTCTACGGGACTTTATATGTATAAGGTTTTGTAAAGTACGATATTTAAGATGATATACAAGATATTTTTATTATAGAAAAATGACATTATAGAATTATATTATAGAAATTTTATACACTTTTGTATAAAATTCCCCAAGTATCTTTGAAAACTTTCCAAAATTCATACAAAATCTTCCCAGGTAATCTGTTCTCTTTATGTGTGGCAATTTAGTGTAAAAGAAATCTTAGCAAATTCGATCATTTGTTCTGATTATTGCTCCATATGAAGTTATTTAACAGTAATCTGATATAAACATCTTATGTTCATTTCTTAATGCAGATTAACTTTAATCTCGGTTTAATTTACTTTTTATCTTTTTCTAGTTCTTGAATTGGAATTTTTTCTGGATGACCCCTTGAGTTTTGAATTTCTGTACTTTACTGTAATGTATAGCTCCAATGGCCTTGGTTTTGCTGTTTTTTTTATCTCGGAGGAATATTTCCTCATTTTCTTAGCTTTTTCCTCGCATTATTTGGAAAACTTACATAGAGTTAAATTACTGCATTTTGGTGAATGAAAATATGATCTGCACTTTGTAGTGTAATATAAATATAGCACAGTGAGGCGTATGAGATCAATTCGGGACATTCGGGATTAATCCGTCGTTCCTGTTGATTTTTAAATGTATAGTTTTGTAGAATTCTAAATAGGAAGTTGTTCTACACTGCATAGACACTGTATATATTCAAAGGAGGATTTATAATGTAATGAAAAATTGCATCTGGAATGAATTTAAAAAGGAACGGAAGATAACCTAACTAATCCTTGTATACAATCTCAGACAAATATGAATAGGCGAATCTTTAGCAAGATATTAACAGACTTTGTGATCGGCAGAAGAAAATTGCACGCGACTTCAAGCCTATCGTGTCTATTTCAACAGGATCGAAGGTCTGGTTATGAATCAAAGTATGATAAACCACCACCGAAGCAAGATTTAAGCATTCTTGGTAGAATGAGCGAAGGATACCGACAGTTTAAGGAAGAGTTTGGTCTTTTGATGGAGGAGGTGAGGGAAAAGTTGAGAAACGATCCTATTTTCATATACAGACAAAACGAAGTTGATGTTGTCTGGCGATTTAAGGGCGATCCGAAGTCGTTGGATCAGTGGGTTGTCACATGTGACAGTGATTACAATGAAGGTTTTTCAACAGCCAAGTAAGGACATAAATTATATTCACATATCTATATAAAAAAAATATACATATATATAATACTACATATTTTTATGTTATATACATTTCTCAGCTGTTACATATCTATATTTTCTTACTGTTTCCTTCTTTCCAGATTGGAGATGTCTTCTACTGGGACTGGGGTATTTTCGGGCACATTAAACAACCGTGTACCCCAAGATGGAAAAGTAAAGTACGCTGGCTATTGTAATATTAACAGTGTACCTAAACGAAGGTCATTCAAGCGCGAAGTTTATCACGATTGGACAGAGTACACCCATATCGTCCTTCGCGTTAGAGGAGATGGCAGATGCTACGTGCTGAATATCAATACCAGAGGCATATTTGACTTGACTTGGAACGACGTGTATCATTACGTGTTCCACACCAGAGGCGGACCTTATTGGCAATACGTCAGGGTACCATTCTCCAAGTTCATATTTTCAAGTAAAGGCAGGCTGCAGGATGCGCAGATCCCGATCGAGCTGCATGAGATTTCGAATCTCGGCATATCGCTGGCGGACGACGTTTCCGGCCACTTCAGACTAGAAATCGATTATATTGGTTTGGAGTATGATGAATTCCATAGAGAAGAGTTTGCTTATGAATCTTACGATGTTTCAGATATCAAATTTTAGTATGTAAGATATTATAACTATTGTTACCATCTGTGCAGAGATGACATAGCTATAGCAGTAAAAAAAGAATATACATTGTACAATATGTGAATAATAAATTTCAACTTAATTTAATTTATTTAGCAAATCTAAAAGAGTTGAAGAACAAGCTTGCTTGCCATCGTATTTATTTAAGTGTGAGGAAAAGGGAAAAGTCATAGAATGTGGTATTAAAATATTAAACAATTTAAGTGGCTTTTCCTCCTGGATATCTGCCCTTAAAAATACAATCCTCTGTATATAGAGGTTTTTTAGGCTTTTTTAAATAGCTTTTTTATAATTTCATATGAAAAATATGAAAATTTTATATGAAATATGAAAAAATACATATGTATAGTTTAATATATAGATATGTGTATTTTTTTATATTTGCTTTAAATATGTATGTATTATCATGATTCTTTGAGAACGTTTTCAGTATTGTACGGCATATGAAATTATAAATAGATATCTATGCCGAATTCTAGCGCGAGTTACAGAGCCTCCAAATTAGATTTCAAATTGCATGAATATGTACGTGTATGTATGCGCGCGCGCGTGTGTTTGTCCAATACTATGTCTACTACAAGTCTAAATTTTATATTGAGTAATGTAATAATAAGTAAAAATTAATAGAAAACATTCTGATTTGCCAGGTTCTTCATAATTGTTTTTTTTTTTACTATTTATATAAAAAATATGAACTGTACAGCTGTACAAAACGAGAAAAGAAGAATGAAAAAAAAAAAAGAAGAAAAAGGAGTACCATCCCTTGTGGGGATCGAACCCACGACCTTTGGATTAGAAGTCCAACGCGCTATCCTCTGCGCCAAAGGGACTTGGTAGTCTTTCTTGAAATAAAAAGTAATATAGCACCATTAATTTATCGCGATAAAAAAAATTATTAACTTTTGCATATTATTTTGATATTTTATTTTTAGAATCTTTTAAAGTTCGGTGAAAATTGTTTTAAAGGGTAAATGATGTATTTGCTTTATCAGATCGAGGAGTTCAGGAATCACAGAGAGAATAAAAGATTGACAAAGATTATTTTGAGAAATATTTATGGTCATATATTGGTCGATAATTCTAAATATGGAAACAATTGTGCGATATAATGAAAAAAAAGTTACCATGCATGGACTACCCTAACAATTAGGTCTCGTTGTCCCAAGTTTCTAAGCAATAATAGGTAAAAGCTTCTTCATAATTTTATTAGATACATAAGCCGATCTGTTGTAACAATCTCGCAATTTTAGAGATATTTATAATAATTGAAAAAAAAAAACAAATTTTATTTATTTCATGCACGCTATCACTTATATTATTTTACAAATCAAGAATCCGTTTTTTTTTCCCATAAAAAATGCGAGGTCACTAAGTTTTTCAAATAAAAAAATTTTTTTCATAATAAAATGCCATGGTTACAGACGTTACAGTATATGTATAATGACTGACTGTTCATAACAAACCGTAACAATAGTAAGAAAACGGTAGCACAAAAACTTGTATTATAATAAATCTCTTTTTTTAAATCTAAAGAGAATCTAAAGAGAACTTTTCCTAAAGTCATTCAAAAGGGCAATGTAAATACTCTTCTTGTTTGTGATAACTTTTTACTGTTGCTAGTTTAAAAGCAAATGCTGACGTTATAAAGAATAATGAGTTTGCCGAAATTGTGTTTTATAAGCGACGCTTTGGACGTTCGAATTTCTAAATTATTCCATGCGAAGAAAAAGTGTGTGTATATGTGAGCCAAAGACTAAATAGAAAAGTAAATGATAAGGTAAAAAGAATATAATAATGACAATACAAAACTAATAATATCTAATAATAATATTAATAATAAATTTGTACTTCGAGATCTCAGGATTGCAGACTGTATCAGTTTTATTCAAATTCTTCGAAAATTAAAAGCTCACATGAATATCATGTCGGAAAAATACTTTTAGATCTTTTATTTCAGCTTCGGTTGATTTTATTCGAAAATATATTCGAAATAAGAATTCTAGAGAATTACTTTTTTATTCAGCAATAGCTTAGAAATTTTACTACGTGCTTTCATTTAAATATGAATAAATAAGTACAGTATAATATCAAATAAATTGCAAAATTGGTTGTCGCGTTCAATCTTCAATTAAACGTGAACAACGTCTAAAAATCTCCGAGGATACATCTTTCGGAGAGATTATTTCGTACAGACTTTGCCGTACAAATTAATATATTCGATATATTTTAAATAAACATCTTAATATAGTTTAAAATATATTGTAATTATGCATTACACACATACATTTTATTTAAAAGTGAAAAATTTGTAATTTTATCGCAATTTTTTACTCGCGGCTCCGATTTATTCATTCAGCGCGACGACCGAGCCAAAATACTTTGAATAGCTCATTGTTTTCCTGCCAATTGGAAAAAGTAACAACAACACAACATATAACAATAATTATAACAATAATAATAACAATAACAATAATAATAATAATAACAACAATTTGTTTTCCAGAGAACACGTCGATAAACGGCGCGCATCTGCAATGTCCCGCGACGCCGCTCGTCGTCGGCGTCGCGTATTGACCGTGGGGATAACGATAATTGTATTGTCGCGTCGCGTCGACGACGACTACACGACGACGAGCGAAATCAGCGTGAGCGTAATAATCGTAATGCCGACAATAGGCGACGCACAAAGGGAATTAGACACCCATATACACGCGAGAAGCGTTAGAGCGGGCACCCACCGCGGCGCGGGCGCGTTGCCCGTCGCGCATGCCACCCCCGTGTCTCCGGCCTCTCGCCGGGTTGGCTCCTCTCTAATTACATCGATCTCCGACCGCCACCCGATTGGTCCCAGCATCCAGAATCCGCCTCCACCGCTCCGCAACCGCCGCCGCCGCCGCCGTGCAGGTAAATCTCATGCGAACGTGAAACAATCAGATCATCCGGGAAACCGAAAGGGGTGGTATGGGGCAGAGGGACCGAAGGGGTGGTGGCGGATGGTCCATGATGCTGGGATGCCGTGGAGAGTGTTGCCCAAGTTTTTTAGCCGCCGAGCGTCGGCGAGCGTTTAATAGCCCGGGGGGGGCTTTGCAGGAGCTCGCGTTGTCGCTCGTTGTTGCTATCGCTGTTTCCGTTCTGTCGCCGCGTTATCTCGCTTGATCTTTTGAGGAATGGAATGGCGATGCGGATGTGTACGAAACGTGATGCACGAATTAAAGATAATTGAGAGATAATATATCGAAAATGAATATTGGAAATATTGCGCAAAATGAAATTGAAATGAAATAATAATGACGCGTTACGTTACGAAATATCTCGAAAATTTTAATTGGCAACGTTTTGTATATTTTTACAGACTGAATTTCCTACGGATTCTGAATTCAATGATGAACTACAGCGAACAAATTAAAAATAGAAATTTTCAAGGCATATTCGAATCGGAGGTAACAGTTTTATTATTTGACTCTCTGAGCCTTATTTCGAAGAAAAGCCCTTTTTTAAATTTTTATAACTTAAAAATGATTAATGATCTACGTTTTCGAAAAGTTGAGTCCAAATTCATTGAAATATTTATCAGAAAAAGCAACGACAAAGCAAAAAGTAAAATTTTACACATTAACTAAATTATTTATCGTAAAAAATTAAGTAATGCTGTTAAAGTGTTCCTACATCCTATCCTATATATATACACATATATCTAAGATAACGTCACAAACTTTATATTTTATAACGAGTTTAAACTTTTCGCAATTGGATTTACTCCTCGCTGCTTGAATAATGTAACATCAGTAACATCTGTATTAGAAACGGCCGGTAGAGAATTAATACTTCGGTCAAAGATTGGAATCGAAGGGGAAACATTTGAATGCCAACAAGTAATAATAATCGGGATTCATCGGCAACGCGTCGTTTCATTGCAAGAAAATTGAGAATAGAATGAACTCACAGCAATCTCGCTGTTCACGCTAAACCGCGCGCGCCGGTTCTTTTTTTCATTCCTATTCGCGAAAACCCCCTTTCATTTCTTCGCGAAACAACGCCTGATTGGTCTCGCGATTATTAAAATAACTCATATTTTCCTCCTTCAGTGTTTATTCAAAAATTTATCCTCTTCTTTTTATTGCATTGCGAATCCGCATGCACACGGTTTAGTGCATGTGACATTTATAAAACTACATGTATTTTATCTTAAAAAATCAGCGGGATATATCTCAAGTCGCGAAGTTACAAAGATATTTATTATTTATCGAAGCATAAAAGAGACCGAATATTACGATTTGCCGGAGATTAAATTTCAGATTTAAAAAAATTGTATTTCTGTATAAATATACGCAAATAATTAATAATTAATGGATTATATAATTTTATACAATTGGAGAAATGTGTATGATATTGAACAATCCACTAATTGTAAGATGAGCTCTATCAATTCCAAGCGGTAAGATTATTTCGTATTTATATAGAGCCTCTAAAATTTAATAGTTTATATTCGTTGAAATAATTGTCGACCTGTTCTAAAAAGTAGGTAATTAAAATATATATTGAATATGTGTATACGTACGTTGGCGACAAATATAACACCCCTTGATATTTTTATTAAGAAGCTATAAATTTTTTAGAATTTTTTAAAGAATTTATAGATAATTTATTATTATAGATCGTAATTCGTAATTTTCGTTTTCAGCAAGAATCTTCGTCCTTGGACGATGTCACAAACACTTCGCGACATTCGAAGAAGGCCGAGACCGGAACGATCAATTCCGTGGATATCCTAAGGGGTATCGCGTGTTTATCCGTTCACAGGAAGCAAAACTTTCGGCCGCACAAATGCGGCCGCACGTGCGATTTCGCATAGGGGCGGTGCAGCGCCGCACGGGTGAGGGAGGGTGGCCGAGGGTGGAGTGATATCTCCGGATGGAAGGGAGATATTCCCCCCCGTACCGCGGTCCCGCGCTTCCAGTCGGCACGAGGTGAGAGAATGGAGGACAGCCAGGTGATTCAGACGCGCGTGCCACCCCGCAGAAACTGACGACGTCCTCCAGCTCGCGGAATCCGCCGCACTTATTCTGATCCTCGGTCCCGCGGGGCGCCGCACACAGTGCGAATTTTTCGAGAATCCCGCGGGATAACTTCAGTCATGATCGGACAATTGCATTCTTGTGAAGTTAATTATACCGGAAGTTGATTCGGGACACAGCGACGTCGAGTGAAAATGAATTTCGATAATAATGAAAAGGAGCAATAAGGAATCAGGAAATGGAAGAAAAGTGAATTACATATGAGAGATAATCGGGTTTATAAAACTTTCAAAAGGACTGGAAAATTTGGTTTGTGAAACCGTGAAACTCCGCGTTCTAGAAATTTAAAGTTCTGGTTCCCATGAACGTCTTGGAAGCATCAAGTCCTCGGAATATCGGTCAAACGTTTTCTAAGACCGATGTGAATCCGTTGACATTTGGACGGAAGAGATCCTGAATCTTTTTTGGAAAAAAATACTCCATGTTCAAGAGAGAACTCAAGATCCATTTATTCATCCCAGAAGCGAATACTTTGACAAACACAAAACTTCCGAGGTTTATTCTTCAATAAGAAGAAGAAATCTTTCAAACGTCTTCCTTATTCGGAAGAATTCCGCCTTTAAGGAGAGAGAATCTTTCTAGATTATCCTGCTTTACCTGGAAGAAATATTCGTAAATCCTTCGAGACGCCGTGCCGTATGAATCATCGAATCTACAGTTCGTAAAAATGTCCGCGAAGAAGACGAGAAGGCCGTCGTCGCCGCGACGTTTCTTCGCGCGGCTTTACGGCCATTTGGAGGCGACGAAGAAAACGGAGGATGACGAGGACGAGGATCACGCGAGAGAGAGTTCGGATTCCTCGCCGGAGATCACGGAGAGAGCATCACACGCGCTTTCCGATTCACCTGAATCACACAAAATGTTGCCTGTGAGTAGATCCCTCTCTCTACTAACATATTCAATGTTAAATATTAAAGAATGAAAGAAGTATTAGACCAATACTTTGAGTTAAATAATATTTTGTCATTTTTAATCATCATGTATATCGAAATTTATTATTTTAACACAAAACAGTATTATTTTAACTCCATTGGTTTAGTTAAATTAACGTATCGAATAGGAGCAGTGGCGACCTATATAGAAATGGTTAAAAGTGACTTAAATTGAATACTATAATTTAACACTATTTTAACAGTGTAACTAGACAACTGTAAAATAAGATTGCGACATTAATTGAACGCATGTGTTTTAAGAAATTGCGCGAAAATAAATCTGTATTTAATCCCTGTATTTAATCCTTCTTTCCTCTTAAATTTTTACGATTTATTTTTCTCGAACCATTAAAAAAATTTCTTGGAGTTTGTGAGAGATCGACCCTTTAAAGTTAAGAAAGTCTTAAGTCCGATCGATGTGTATCGAAATATATCTGGATTAAAAACTGTCACCGTTCCATCTTTGCAAGGTGTCACACGCCAAGGACCTCGAAAAAGTGCCAAGCGACGTCGCGAATAGTAAAATATTCGAGAGCAAGGAAACGAAGAAGGACTCGGTGCTCACGGGGGTGAGGCTGCCTTTCCTGCACGGATTTCTTCCGCGGGGACCCGGTCAGACTTTTCATCTAACGCAGCTCGCGCATCCGCCCACGCTGCCGCCGCATCTTCACGTTCTGCCGAATCATCAGTCTATCGCCGAGCACCACTTTCAAGGATTCTCAGCCTTCCGTAAGATTCTCAGCTCCCGTCGATTTCGCGTTGTAAATTTCAGTTTTTCGCAATTAATACACGGCACACACGTGTCTATCATTGTCCTGGAAGAATCATAATCAGTGAACATAAATCTTTTATTAAATTTTATTAAGTCAATTTTAATCAGGCAATAAATCTAAGTTCACCAAGACGCGACGTAATTAAATTAGCTTTGATAAATGTTGCTTTATTTTTACTAACAATAAGTAATTTCTTTGGCTTAATAATTCGCGTTATTATTCCGAATTTTTTGAAAATGTCAGGATTGTTTATGGCTCTTCGGATTTTAAATACTTGAAAATAAACTGGCCTCACCGAGGTTCTTTACGTTAAAATCTATAGTAGTAAAACGAGCAGTTGGATGAATCGTTAGACATTTTGTGAATATATCAAGATCTTAGCGGTGGTCAGTTGGACGTTCAAAACATTTTTTATTCAAAATTATAGTATACTATTCATATATAACATTAGTATATAGTAAATTATATTCATACTAAAATCTCGAATTTTAGAGGATGGATTTCATATTCTACGTGGCATCATCGCAATGTATTTTTGATCAAGAAACAAGCATTCTGTTCCATCCGTGCATCCATCATGCATGGAGATATGTACATGGAAATATAGTTGACTGCATAACGCGTCTCTAAAAATTCGATTCTCTCTCTTTCTCTCTCTTTTTCTTCCTCTCTTATATTTTCTAGCCCCCTCCTCCTCTTGCCGTAAGCTGAGAATCGAAAGACGTCTTTGCGTTCGAGTATTCGCGAATCAGTAAGCAGATTTTGTGATGCCGGCATTACGTGACGCCGAGCGGACACGACCACCGTCCAGACGGGGAGGATATCGAGGCACTCTTCTGTCGTCTCCTCTGCGCGACAATGGCGCACAGTCCCACACGGGAATTATTTCGAGGAAATCAATTCAGATGCCTTTTGAAATCTATAGTAAAGCTTCCAACATTTTTTTTTCAATGGCTCGGTTTTTTCTCTCGAAAAATATCTTGTTCGTTTGTATCTATTTTTCAGATTTTTAGGCACATCAGGCGTTAAAAAGAGTACATTATTTTATTATCTTAAGAAAAATTATCTTACGCGGAAAGTCGACGGATTTTTGATGAAGTATTAGAAAATAGAATTCTATATGAAAATTGTAGCTTCTTCAAGTACAAAAAATAATTATTTGTTTCCAAAATACTCGACATTCCGTTGAGCTATCATAGTAATCACCTAGGAACGTTCGGCGAGTAATTGTTTTCAAACGGATATAAGTTTCGTTTTTTAGAAAGCTACTACGAAATTAAAAAATTTAAAGGAAACTTTCCGAACGATCTCATTTTTCCTCGCAATCTCGATCGCGCGATTGCCCGCGTGTCGAAAGTTTTCTAAATCTTCCAATTGTCTTGGAAACTATTCGAGCTATACAACGTTATAGAACGGTATATATCAGCTGTGAAACAGGAGCGTTCCGACCGAACACCCCTCGCAGTTAAACGATGGATTTAAAAAAATGGGACAAGTGCGGTGTGAAAAGCGACAGCGGATTTTGACTGGATATCACTTCCAACAGTTTTTACAAACGGGCTTTTCGAGGATATCCCGCTGAGGATATCGCGACAGCCGTTGGCGAAGAGGGGAGGGGGACGAATTAACGAATTTCACTCTTCATCTGGAAAGTTTGACAAAAACATTGCGAGGACAAACCGCGCGCGGTTTTATCCCGCTTCGACACTTCGTCGCGATATTGTGATGAGATTACGAGAATCGCAGTTGGCCGCTCCTCAATGCGGGAAATACGCGCCGCGGTATTCCCTGAAAAACCTGGCTCTCTCTTTCTCTCTCTCTCCTCCTCTCCCGGCCCGCCTAAGCCTCACAAGCCACCCCGCGACTCGACTCGCCGGAAAATACACGCGCCGGGTGTTTGTAAGTCGCGCATTGCCGACTCGAGGCTTAAATTGTATCGCGAGGAATCTATACCTGCCAGGCGATGCCTGGTGACGTATATCACGCTTTGATCCCCGCGATCCCAATTTATTCCGTTTGAACGTCGAGAGAGATGCTTAACAGGTGCCGCGGTATCATCGACGTGATACAGAAATGAACATATGCTGTGCAAGAAATAATTTTTCTATCTCCGTTTGTTGCTATCTCGGTGAAAAAAATGTCTCAGAATTTTTTATATTATTAATCAGAATTTGTATGAAAATTTCAAGACCCAGAATTTTAAGATTTTCTCAGATTTTTAAATATATAAATTAGAATATTTTTCTCTCAGAAAAACTCGGACAAAATAATAATGAAATATTTCAGATTTTTCTTGAAAGCCCTATCGCGCGGATCTATCGAATTGCTCTAAGCGGTTATGAGGTTCAAGGCGCAATTAGTATCCCGTGTCCGCTTTACGCCAGATTGGACGAAGCCTCGGGAAGCCTCAATTTCCGATATCGCTCTGTTTCTTCCTCCGTGTTCCCCTCTTCGGTACATCCTAATTATTCCATCACGAAGATGAAATTACACCACGGTCAGATTTATTTCACGAATCCCTACCAAGTGTGCTGAAAAAAAAACGAGGATTATAATCAAATTGAAGTATTAAGAAAGCAAATTACGACGCACGCGTGTCCAATTTTTAAATTGTTGAAAAGTGCGTAATCAGTAAAATAGTTTATCGCAGATGGAATTAAAATAATCGCATGGACATCGCGTGATCATCATACGCGAGTGAATTTTCTGATAGATGTGTCCAAAAGGAACTTCTTGCCCTTACAGAATTGTATTTCTTTCTTTCGCAGTGGCGCGCAGAAGAAGGAAAGAAGGCCGACCGCGAAGACAAAGGACGACGTTCAGCGGCGAACAGACACTGAGGTTGGAAGTCGAGTATCGGCGGGGAGAATACATCTCGAGGGGACGCAGATTCGAGCTCGCAACTTCCTTGAGACTTACCGAGACGCAAATCAAAATCTGGTTCCAGAACAGGCGCGCCAAGGACAAAAGAATCGAAAAGGCGCAGCTAGACCAGCAGTACCGGTACTCATTCAACTCACTCCTGTTATTATACATTTTGTCCATTTTCTTATCTCAAATATAATGTCGTTTCTTTCTGGATTTTCTTACGAATACCATTAATGGAATTCGTTCTTCTAAATTCTTAACCGTTTCAAAAAATGTGATCTTTCTTACGTTTTTAATCAGGTCGTGATATTTTTAGTTCATTAAATATCTAAATTTTTCAATTCCTGAACCAGTATAATATGTATTACATTTCGCACGAATTCTATATATGCATTTCTTTTCGCGTATTACTTCCTTCAGGCAGCTGTAGCACCACTATTGCAGCGCGTTATTTCTTATTTCTTCGCAATATTCTATAAACGCAAAGACTTCCAAGACTTTATAAGCTTTAAGGAGATGCGAAAGGCAAATCGATTTTCCGATTCTCCAAAAGGACATTCTCTCGTAAGTTAGGATAATTTTATTTGCCGCTTATTATTTCTCAAAACCACTTGAGCCACGCTGTCTAATTTCTCTCCGTTGAAACTAACGTGGGAAAAATGAGAGGACCATATGGAACATATGGCAATTTTCGCATACGTCCTACATCCTTGCATCCCACGCACGATGCGTCCAGTCGATTTGTTATCTTGTCAGCGTGATGTATCGTGCTTTCAATGCGACTATTAACGCACGGCCATTAGTTTCATCAGCTGTTCTTAGAATTTTTGTAATTTCCAACTTCAGTAACGGAAACGCAACGCAAAATTATAATGCTCAGATAATTTCCCCGAATATAATCTTATTTTAGAGATTTCAGTGAAGGTTAAAATTCTCTCTCTCTTAAGATAAAATTCTCAAAATTAACGAAATCATAAATTTAGTTATGAGAAAGAAAAGTGTAGTTAAACGATTATGTCAGCAAAGCTGTTGAACATGTACATGTACAATTACATTTAACAATTTATTATTTCATACAGGAAACCTCCGAGAACTGATTCAGCGCAACCGAAAAGGGGACGACGTCCTATGAGAAAAGTAAAATGTTAAATAAGACTTTTCACACGAGGCCTTATTTTCGAGAGACGTAATTGGAAAATTAATAATATGCACGCTTTCTAGATGAAAACCTTCTATTATTAAATTTCTACCTCGCGGCTATTAATACATAAATAAAGAGCGATGTTCCGTTCAATAAAACAGTTTGAAATAATTTAAGCTACTAAACGAATCCAATTTAAACGAATTGCAAATTGTGACAGAATTCGTAATTTTGCGCGCGAGTATAAATACAAAAGCATTTGAAGAGTGAGAATATATTTATAAATACATTTCAGAGAATACTTATATAAATATACAACGAATATATGAAATTATAAATAAAGTTCTATTCTAAATTCTAACGTGAATTATAGATCATCTAAAACGGATTTAAAGAAATTATGCTTAAAATATTAAGATTGCTTTCATCTTCTCGATAAAATATTATATTTTTTCATAAATTCTGAACGTATAAATATTTTGATAGCTACTGACAAAACCAACTGATTAATATATGAGATAAAGCCCCTAGAAGTTCAATTATTAATTTCTCAGTTTCCAAATTAATTACTTTTGATAATAAAATGTATAAAAAGATTTTACTTTCGACTTACTCTTTTCCATAACAAATCATTAAAATATAAAATTATTCTCAAGTCATCCTGGGCTCTTTGAAACATAAATTCTCCAATTTTCGAAATGCTGCCAACAACGGGACTCGAATAACTCCTCTAAATATCCTAAATCGCGAGAACCGTCGACCATCTCACCTGAAATCAAACTCCGGATCCCGTCGCGAACAATTATTCCGGAGAACACGGCCGGCACGGTCCGGAGGAGAGACGTTGCCCGATGAAAACGGCACCCTCCGTAATGCGGGGCGAGACGAGGCGAGGCGAGGGCGAGGCGAGGTGCCGAGAGAACGCCCCGGCGCCGCACAAAGACCGAAATTTGTATGAGCTCCTCCTTCCGCCGCAGATCACAATAGCGCGGAGACGTAATCCCACTTAAGGCTATTTAGCGGTGTATCACATCGGTGTATCAACTCCGGTCGAACCGCAGTCGAGCGTCGCACGACGCGCCGGGGCCGGGGTCCGCCGAATCTCCTCGCCCACCCCTTCCTTCGTTCCACCCTTGCCACTCGCCGGGAGTGGCCCCGGATGTTATTCAGTCGATATGCACCTGACGCTCGATAAACCGGATAAACGACCGGATAAATGCATCCCCCGTGTGCTAACCGCGGGATTTTCTCATCCACTTGTCGCAACCCTCGCGCATTCACAGGACGCACCGTCCTGATCAGTCCCCGATCAGTCCTGATCTCCGCAATCTCAATTTGCTCCGAAAAACGTTGAGAGGCACATTTACGCGACATTTCCAAGGGAGTTCTGAGAAGCGAGTGGATAGAATTTTATTTCCAACGGCTTTTAAGTATAGGACCCCTTTGTATCTAATAATCAATTTTTCTAAACCCCAAGTCGTTGAAACATTTGAAGTTAATGTTGAACATTGGAACGTGGCATTGAATTATCATATAAGAAACTTCTCGCTTTAGATTAACGCTATATAAATATCAATTAGAGAATTGTTACCCAGCATCATCTTTTGTGGCTGAAGACTTATCTTCATATTGGATCCTCTTTCCCTTTTTTAGTCACTGTTTCCTCATTGCTGGAAGATTGGCTACTTGCTAATTCTAGCGAAATTTTTCTTATCTTGTGTTTCTATTTTGAGTATATAGTGCCTGCGTATATAACTCGGTCCACTTTTTTAACATAAAATATTACATTTCGATTTAAAAAATAGAGGGGGACAGACTGTCGAATTGCGTTTTGTCAAGTCTGTTAGATCGCATTATAAAAAGCTCGATTACGTTCTAAATGACTGAGATCTCAACGGCGGAACATCTCATAACAGTCTTCATTTAATAACCAACCAGGTATTTAGAGCGTGAACGAGCGGAGAGGGCTGCCGACACGCGATTCACAGTTTAAGTAACGATTCCGCTCTTCCCTAATGTCTCGCCGAATAAAAGCGGTTACTTCAGGCAAATGGAAGCACCGATCACGTTGATTGCTCCTTTTTTTTACAATCTATTTCTTTTACAGACGCAAGCAATGTTCGCACGTCTAGAAAGCATCGAATGTCCGACGTTTATGATCCCCTCCCCCCCACTCGCCATAAAAATTGTTGGAAAACAGTTTAACTTTGTTGTTAAATCTTTTTGTGGTTTACAGAAACTTTGCGGTGTCGAACGGCCTGGTGAACCTGCCGCTTTACAACGCGACTGGATTCTGCGGCCTCTGTCTGTACAAAGATACCTACGGCTCGGTGACCAACCACTCCTGCATCTCCGGCAATCCCGTTGTCGTCGATTCGTCTTCGAAGAATCAACCGCGTTACAGCAGCAGTGGCAGCGAGACGTCCGATAATCCGCCGAACCTCGTGTCCACGACTTAATTAAATCCAACGCGCAATCACCACGTTCATTTAAGACACACAGACAGTCTGACAATAAGTTTATTTCTTTCTTTTTTTCTATGTTATGCGATATAGAGGCAGTTCCAACAATCAGTTTTCGGCGTGCACGAAATGATGAGGCATTATAAATATCTTTCCTGGCAGTATAGTGATAACTATAAAAGAAACGATATCTGTTGATATTAAAACACATTTTCTTGTATTATTTTTTGTTTTAATTTCGTGACTTTTCAGTACTTTTTAGGCAATGTGTATAGTCGTGATTCATCAATTTAGTTTTGCACAAGTTTTTTTCAACCTTCATTCATTAGGCCTGTTCGTTTTAGCTTCGTTCGTTATCAGTAGCCAGAATAACACTTTTAATATTTCCGTTATATCGCTACTGCAAGAATCTCATTATTTAAAGATACCCAGATATCTGTAAATGATGAGAGATCTTAAATGAAATATTTAATATCTTATACAGATCAATAATCATAAAATTAGTAAACATTTTGAATAAAGTAAAAATAATTATCTTCGAAACTACATTTTCGTTAAAAAGGCAGAACTTAAATTTGTACATTGTACTATTTAAAAGATTATTTCAGTATCGAAACAATATTAAGATGGCGATATCGCAAAAGAATACGGCAATGCCTCATACAAATCTTACCAGCACTCGCTAAAATTGGAAAGTGTCACAGCTCGAACAAAAAAATGCACGTTGGTTTAGTATGGATCAACCTATAATGAAACGCATTTCCACTGCGTTATTGCTAATAAGTAACACGGAAAAATTTTCGAAAGTTTTGAGAAAATCTTATCTTAGATACCTTTTTTACTTCGGATGTTAATTAACTTCCGCACATAAAAAAACAAGAGTAAAACGGATTTCCGATCAAGATTTGCTTCGCTTGGAATCATACCTTTCAGGTCTAAAATTTTTAATTAACAAAACTGAATCATTGAAGTAGTAAAATTATTAGTTTATCAACTTACCTTCTATTTTTCTTGTTTTCTTTTATTTAGCACGCTGAGAGTAAAATCGATTTGAAAACGATAAGAACAAAGAAAAATGTTAACAACAATTATCATCGAAAAGTCAATCCGATCACAATTAATCGTAATGGTAACGTAACATATAGAGTTGCAATTAATTATATAAATATAATAAGATTTGAACATGTTTTATCTGTAATTAGTAATTAATGCTTAATCGATAACGAGAATACACGAAATTGCAAAAAGATATATATATGTATAGTTTTATTATTTATTTATGTTTCGCAAACAGTTCATATAATTAGTGCAATGCGTTATAAATAAATTCAAGTAACTTTTAACAGTCGATGCATAAGTACAATTTGCAATTGCATGTATTTCACGAGTTTAGGGGAGAATGAAAAGACAGCTCTGTAGACTAAAAAAAACAAAAGTTTATTATATACGTAAAAATAGCGTTACAATCTAAAATACATACAATATTCCTATTATGTCCTAAACAAATCCCAGGTGTTTTAATTTAGGATCTCTACGGGTTCGTTTCAGAAACTTTCAATTCCTAAAATCTTATAACTGTAAATGCAAGAATTTTTGCCTCGAAAGATTCCAAGATTCCATCCGATCCAAGAGAGAATTTCGAGTTTTTAATCCTCTATTAGATTCTTAAGCTTTCTGAAACCTTTCGATTTCTCTTTCATAGAAATTTTCGAATTCCTGTATTGCTAAAGGCCTCGATACCAAAAAAAAAAATTTTCGTATTTCAGTTATCATGCACAAGCTTAAGGGAGTAGTCTCTACCTTGAAACGTTTTAAACTAAACATTTTTTGAGAACTTTCCGTGAAAAATACGAAACGTATTGAATTTCTTATAAAATTTTTCGTACATCTTAACTACACTATTAAAAAAAAGAATAAGTTCATAGCGCATAGTGGCGTACAATAATTTTCCTTCAATTTATATAGAGTAATATTGTCCTGTTAAATTTTTTAAAGGTAAGGTACAAACTACATCCTTAAGATTAATGTTACTGAAATTGAAAATTTTTAAAGGCACAGATTCTACTTTAAAATATATAAATCCTTAGTTTTTAGAAATATTTATTTTTTCAATCTTCGACTCTGGAACTTTTGGAAACCTAAATTCTTATTTTCTCCAAAATTACCTGATCCCGATTAACATTCAAAGCAATTTGAAAAAAAAAGGTCGCAGAGAGGTGCATAGATAGATCATTACTTGAACTTACCTCAGTCAGCGGCCTCGGAAGGATGGCGGCACAGACATCGCTCTCGTCGAGTACCAGCCCGAACGGTAAACCAGAAATTAATGAAAACGAAAGACAGCAATTAATACAGTGAAAGTAAAAAGAAGTCTCAGTAACAAACACCCTGCCTGCTTTCCGCGGTCAAGTAAACTTAAATAAACCAAGTGAGAACGCCTTCTTTCGCGCTTTACAAGATGAGGACATGGCTGACCATCCATCGACTTTCAACGAATTTACTTTGAGAATAAACCCACAAGTATCTGAATGTTTCCTCCAACAAATCTTAATATTGATTTTAATTTCTCAAGTTTCATCACTCCGCAGTGTACCATGTGAGTCTTGAGAGCAGCAAGTTTCTTCGACAACTTGCCGGTTGTTAGATCTCGCTAACTTGTTTGTTAAACTTGTTTCATTCTAGAATGCCTGGTCTCTCTAAATCGACACAAGGAGTTCCTGCACAATTATCGTCCTTGATCCTTGGAAATCTCGAGTTCCTAGATTACCGGTGGATCGGTATTAAAGCGTATGTACGAATCAGTTATTCCTGCAGGAATCTTAGGTGACAAAGCTATCACTTTCAAGCTAACACTTTGAATGTCAGATCTGGTAATTGGTATCCTAGGCATCATAGCAAGTTTTGATAGCGTGTTCCTTCAACCTAGTAATACATGACGAAAATATCGCACCTTAAAAATAGAAATGCTGTAACTTAAAAAAATCTTTAAAAAGGCCGTAGACATAAACATCAGACATAAAAAAAACAGTAGACATAAAAATCAGAAAAGGATACATAAAGATTTAATTTATAAATTTTTGAAAGTACTCGCGCGACGATACTAACTTTGCTTTTTAAAACTCAAGAGATCCTTAAAACTATACTGTACATTTTTAACATGCGGATCCCTAGATCTTCGGACGGCCGCGGCGATACGTTAAAAGCGTAACATCTGTCGAATAGTCTTCCTCATTTCTAAGCGATATGTTTTCATATAAAGAGAGACTTCCTGTGTATACACACGAACACTGGTGTGAAGATGAAAAAAAAGACAAGAAAAATATAACAAAAAGAAACAGCAACGATGCAACAGCTATACGAACGAAAATATATCTCCTGTTCAACCTAAAACTCACTTTGCGAAAGGGAGATGAATTTAAATGGAACCGGCAATGTTTCGCCTGGCGTTTCACGCGTTGTGTTAAACTTCGTGATCGTGGCGTACATAACTGAGCGAAAAATATTTTTTAAATGTTTAAAATTGCATTTCTTTTTTGAAAAATTACTTTAGAATTTGGCATACACGTTCAGCAAGTCCACTTTGTACATTGTACAAATTATAATTATAAATTAAAATAAATTTAAATGTAGAATACATTTTAATATTCGATTCATCAGACTTTCGCAAGTTCTCTTAAATAACAACAAATCTGATGTACAGTGCACCAGATACACAACGTAGTCGCCAAAAAAACACTGTAAAATAAGATTGTAATTTCATGCACACACTTGTTGCCATTTAACACCCTATAGATATGTATATATACATTTATACGTGTTATATATGTATAGCTAAGCAAATGAGTCGAAACATTCCTACCTGTGATTGTATAACAGAGGCTAGAATGGAAAGCCTAGTAAACACTAGTTCCTGTCTGTCGTAGCCTGAGAATCCTTTCTCTCTGTTATCTTTGCCTTTTCCCTTCTTTTTATGTTCTTTCTGCTACCTGTTAGCTTCTTCCTGGCTCTTAAGCTGATAATCTTCGTCATTAAGTTTCAAATCCAAACTGCACTAGACTAACTAGAGACTACTCTAGCACTTTCAACGCCGCTCTAGATCTACCGAAGAGTGAAGAGCTGATATGGGGGATGAGAGGATTAGACTCGAAAATTATGCTTTGAGTGATAAATGCTTGGACTAGATCTTGTAATCTAAAGAATTTGGCTTTTTTCACAAATTTATTATTAGTAGTACGTAAAAATTCATTTTTTCTTTTTCTGGCAGAGTTTCGAGCAATCAAAATTTAACTAAAATTTTAAATTAATTTAGATATTATTCTAATAAAGGATTCTTAAAAATTTCAAAAATTTTTGAGAAAATCAACAAACAAATTAATTTAAAAAGTCTCGAAAATTTTGAAAGCTTCGGGAGATCGTAGACTCCTCTAAAATCTCCCAGGTTTTTGAAAACTTCAAAAGGTTTTTAAACTTTTTGAAAAATCTTTAGAATTAAGATTATATCAATATTGACACTAATATTCATAATCATTAATACTGAAAATAATTACCTATGTAAATATAAATAATACATAAACTTAAGCCAAAATTAATCTTCCAAAATCCTCAAGATTTTTTAAGAATTTTCAATTTTGAGCAATATTTGAAGTAATTCGAAACTTTTTAGACCGATATTCCAAATTGTTCGAAATAATTGATAATCTATCGTCATTTAGAGCATAAATCTTTTTTTATGACAAATGATCGCGACGACAGGTACGAAAAAAGCTCGCAAATAGTTCATGACATTCTTTGCGATTAAAAAAAAAACTACAAAAGACTGGGATGGGATTTTCGTTCTACACAAATGATTTAATACTGCGAATACATATTTGAACATTGACGCCTCGAGGTATCGGTGGTATTCTTTTTTTTTCATTGGCTACACAGTCGACAGTACATCTATTTCTGCCTTTTCCTTCGTTTCTTGTTTTTTCTTTTTTTTTTTTTTTTTCATCTATTAAACAAGTCCTACAAAGTGGTTCCTTCAACACGTACAAGAATGATCCTGATCTACCGTTGTTATCATGAATAATTTTATTATGCAGCTTCGAAGAAAAAATTACGTATATAGTTATAAGAGATTCATATGACAATATATATATAAAACTGCATCTTATATACATTTTGTCTGTCTTATAAAGTTAAGCGATTTATAAAGAACTGTATTTTATATACATTTTGCCCGTTTTATAAAGAAGTATGGAAACTTCGAAGTTGCACGAAAGATATTCCGGGTGATTAGATAATGTTAGCTGGTTTACCCGGTACATTCTGACCCTTCGCAGTAGTTTTAAGTCTGAGCTTATAGCCTATTGACCTCGCGCCGCAAAATTAAGACATAATAAAGAAAAGGTTTCTTTTATTTAAGCCAACTAATGCTTAAACAATTATACAGCTTCGTAAACTAGTTTATTTCCTATTAATTAGACCTAATTAGTTCCTATAAAACGCTGACGAATACTCTTCTCTTGCCGTTTTTATCGCTACATGCACGCACTATATCTTTCTCTCTCTCTCTTTCTTCTTCTCATTTTTCCTAATGTAAATTATCTTCCTGTATATATGAATGAATTTTTTTTGCCTGTCTGCTGAATATTTACGCGCAGATCCTCGTAAATAACGTAAAAATACATTTGAACGATAATACGAATCTTTACAATGAGTGGAGAAAGGGAGAAACTGGACGCAAGATTAGAAAAGAATAGGCATATAAGCCTCTCACTGCGAACTAACTGATGACTTTTTTTTCTCTTTCTCTGTCCTGTATCCTGATTGTCCTGCCTGCCTGACCGACTTCCTGACTGTTTCTGAGTTTCTGCCTGTTCGTTGCCTTGTCTCTCTAGCCTGATAGCCTGCCTGCCTGCTCCAATACTAAACAGTACAGAAGTACTGGCGACTAGAAGACAAGTAGTAGTAGTAGGAGGAGTAGTAGCTTCACCTGAGGTTCAAAAGTCAAGAAATCTGTTAGTTAAATTCCTTAGCCTGTGCAAAAGACCGATCGGGTCGTGAGCAAGGAATTTCCGAATCTTGGGATCTCTTTAAGGCTCTGGA